AGTGGGGGCACATTTCTCACAGGAGGGCCACTCTCTCTCCAATCTCTCAGTCCTGATCCTCAAGGGAAATTTACACAACACTTCCCAGAGACGAGCCTATGAGCTCCATTTCATCAACCTCCTGGATACCAGAGATCATGGACTAAACATAGACATTGGATTTTTGATACATTATAATCTGCCTGGCAACTGACTCCTCAGCCCAGCCCAGCCCAGCCCAGCCCTGCCCCTGGCTTCCTTACTTTTCATTCCATCCAGGAAGAGTGCACACCAACTGCTGCAGCTTCCTTAGCCTGACAAAGGGTTTTTGAACCCGAAACCTTGCTTAATAACTATTCTCCAACTATTTGGGTTGGTCTAATAAAAGATATCAAATTCACCCAAGGAACCTTGTCTGCCTGTGTCCTTAGACCAACATGGCTACAACCTAAACCCCTGCTTCCATGTACAGACACTCATCCTGAAACCAAAGTGTCTTCTTCCTGTTTTACCTCATCCCACTTTCAGTATAGGAGTAATTGAAATTCTCTGGTCAATATTTTATAAAAAGTCATATTAGATGACATTATGCTTTCAGATCATTGAGTCTGTGAATATGAATGAGGACTTCAGTGATGATGACATCTTGGAGTAACTAGCATAAGGGGTCATTTGATCACACACAATGCAAGAATCAGGTGTTTTTTTTTCCTTCAAGCTGTGGAGTGTAAATTCACAGAGATCTGTTCGGTCCTGCATCACTTGGTGATATCTGACCCAGTAAGATCACGAGCAATTTGCAGAGTGAACTTTTGTCTGGAGTGTGCAGCCATACTTCTTGTTAATATCAGAGCAAGTTGTATCTGGACCCTGGGCAGAATCTGGCTCATAGTGCCGTATTTACTCAATTCCAAATTGAGGCTTTAAGAGCCCACATCTTATAATTGCATACAAGGAAATCTTGCTAAATACATTATCTATCATTAAACTGCTATCAAAAGCAGCATGTGCTCCGCAATGGAAACCAGTTACGAAGTTCGTTAAATGCAGCCATCATTGAACATGACTATAAAACAGATGGCCCACACTGGGTATAAATAAATATATATATTCAATATCTATCGACCTATCTATCTTTATATTTATATTTTGGCAGGTATTGAATTTGCTCAGCCTTTTGGCTCTCTGCTGTCTGCCCCTGGCACATCTTACAAATCAAGAGAAGCAGGGCTAGAAGTGATCTCCAAAGGTCATCTAGTCCAAGCCCCTGCCTGAGGCAGGAGCATCCCTATCCAAACCGTCTTATACAAATCCATAATCTAAACTCTTCATAAAACTGTCATCAACCCAGACACAAGACAAGACATAACACCCTAACCTGCCACAGGTAAAGCAGGGGAACGAGGGCAGCCAACATCCTGTTTGTGTAAAAAGGTTGTTAATATACCTCAAGAGATCCCAGGTAGAGGCACAACACCTACTATGGAGGAAGGCAACAGCCGGCAGTGCGATGCTGTAGCTAGTAGGGCAAATAATACTCCGGCATGCATCAATCGATGCATCTCCAGCAATGCCAAGGAGGTGATTCTTCCACTCTACTCAGCACTGGTGAGACCGCAGCTGGAGTACTGCGTCCAGTTCCGGGCACCACACTTTAACAAGGACGTGGACAAGCTGGAGAGAGTCCAAAGAAGAGCCACCCGCATGATCAGATTTTTACCCGAAAAGCCATATGAGGAAAGGCAGAGGGATCTGGGACTCTTCAGCCTGAAGAAAAGAAGGCTGAGACGGGACCTGGTAGCAGCTTACTGCTACACTAGGGGAGTACATCAAGGGCTTGGTGAGCAACTGTTCACCAGGGCACCCAAGGGGAAAACCAGGAGTAATGGCCACAAACTCCTGGAAGATCAATTCAGGCTCAACATTAGAAAAACCTTTTCCCAGTCAGGGTGTTCAGACTGTGGAATAAGCTCCCTCCAGAGGTGGTGCAATCGCCTACCCTGGAAATCTTCAAGAGGAGACTGGACGGTCACCTTGCTGGAGTCACCTGACCCCCAGTTATCTTTCCTGCTTGGTGCAGGGGGCTGGACCCGATGATTTTCCAAGGTCCCTTCCGGCCTTGCAATTCATGAATCTATAAAGAGACCTGAGTGTACACACACACACACAAATATTATAAAAGTTTGCCTGTCTGTTTGTCCATAATGCTTTATTCGCGCTTTGATTGGCTGACAAACATCCAATCAGAGTGAGAACAAGCATTCCAACAGGAGCTGGCAGCCGGTGGAGTGCTGCCATGATGGTGGGGACAGAGGGGAAGGAGGGCAGGGGGCAAGGCCAGTGCAGCCTGACCAGCGTGGCCTCACCCCGCCTGCCCTGCTCCCTGGAGGCGGGGGCAACAGAGGGGATGGAATGCAGGGGGGAAGGAGGGATGAGGCCACTGGAGCTGGTCTCCCCCTCCCCTTTACTCCCTGCAGGTGATGGCGGTGGCGATGCAGCGGGTATCAGGGTTGGGATGCCACAGGGGGGCCAGGCCATGGCTCTGGCCTCGATCCATCCCTCCCCGCCTTCCACCATCGCTGCCTGCAGGGCCTGATGTGGGATGCCGTGGCAGTGGTGGGAGAAGTGAGCCTGACGTGGGTTGGGGGAATAGCAGGCATGCCATGGCGGAGATGTGGGGAGGGGAGGAGTGGGCCCTGGGCCCCACGCAGCGGGGGAACAGGACTGAGCTCAAGCCAGGGGAGACGCTGGCCCACCACAGCAGAGGGAGCAGTGGGCCCGTGGCCAACCCGGTGGTGGCAGGGGAATGAGAGGAGGGGGCTCGGAGCTGACGGAGGGAGGAGTGGGCCTGGGCTTGAGAGGTGAAAGCAACTCACTCCGGAGTGGGCCTGGGCTTGAGAGGTGAAAGCAGCTCATTACTTCCCTCCCCCAGCTGCTGCCGCGTCAGAGTGGGACGCTGCTCCCCTCACTGCTGCGGTGGGCCAGCGTCTCCCCCGGCTCAGGCTCGGGCCTCCTCCCTGCCACCGGCCCCTTGGTGCTGAGCGCTCCTCCTGTTCCCCTGCCCTCGCTGGGTCAGCCCAGGCCTGTTACTCCCCCTGCCGCAGTGGGACAGCTTCTCCCCACCCTTGTGTCCGGCCCTCCCCTGCATCGGGTCTGGGCACACTCCTCCCCTCCCCCCACCGCTGCGGCAGGGAGCGGGTCCAGACCCCAAGCAGCAGAAGGTAAAGGGGGAGTGGGCCCAGACAGGGTTGGTGGGGGCACGGGGCTCTGTCCCCGCGTGCTCCCCTCCTCCCTCGTCATTCCTGACGGGCAATTGACTAGTATATATATATATATTCTAATACTATACAAGCCTTTGTCTGTCTGTCTGTCCAGGAATGGGCCCGGACCCGAAGGGGAGGTAGGGTGGGAACAGGCCCGGACACGGACACGGGTGGGAACAGGCTGTTCCCTGCTACCCTGCCTCGGGTGCCTCAGTAGGCATGACCTGGAGCGGGGAGCTCGTAGCCCCTCTGTGCAGCCCTGCTGTTCCCAGCCACGCCGTGTCACTCCTGCTGGGCTGGAGAGGCACCTGGGGCAGGGCGGCAGGGAATGGTGGCTGCTCATCTTGCGCTTCCCGGGGGACGCACGTCCTGTGCCTGCCGCTCTTTGAGGGAGGGTTGTGGCCAGGGCAGTGGGGTGCAGGGCCCTGGGATCAGGCAGGGAGAGGAGTCAAGCTGGGCCCACTGCGCCTGTGTCCCCGCCCCTTCCCCTTGGAAGTGTGTGAGGCAGTGGGGTGCCGGCCTCCCCCTCCCACTTCCCCAAGCCACTGGAGGCTCCGTCCTGCTCCCTGCTGGGGCCCTGCAGCTGCACACTGCGGCCCCAGGCCCCAAGCACTCCCTGGCTCAACTGCAGCCCCAGCCCTGCCCAGCTCCCTCCCTACATGGGCCTCAACCTTCCACTTTCCCCCCCAAGCTGGAGCTGCCCTCGAGGCTGCTTGGGGCCACGTGGGTGCACTGTACATGCGCGTGGCGCCACCTGTCTCACCGTATGCCTTCCGCTTCCTCCCAGCTCCCTGCAGGCAGGAACACAACATCCGAGTTTTGTCGCATAAAGCAAATTTCTGGTCTAAATAAGTGAATTCACATATAGAGAAATTTGCGCGAAACGAATTTGCATAAAGACACGAGCGTGTGTGCGCGTATCTTAGTGGTGCTTCATTTAAATCATGGAAAAGTGTGAATTTGGGATTAATTTTTTAACTGAAATTTCAGGATTATTTTAAATCTGAGAAAACCAGGATCCCTGGTGATGAGAAAGTAATGACAGCAAACTCAGAAGTCCGTGAAGACTCCCTGAGTGACTTGGGTTTTGCAGCTGCTGCAGCAATGAGCAGCCTCAACAATTATCGTACATTTGGAGCACTTTACTTATTATTAGTCGCACTCGTACAAAAGCAGAAACGACCGCACAGACGCCGTAATTATCGTTCACCAGCCAACGCTGCCAGGCGGTGATCTACCCCCGCCCCGCCCGCTGACGTCGCTGCGAGGAGGCGTACGAGTGCCCTGCCCCCGGCCTACCGTAGCCGGAA